GTCACCTGGGGTCACCCAAAGGTCAGCTGGGGTCACCTGGGGTCATCCAAAGGTCAGCTGGGGTCACCCAAAGGTCAGCTGGGGTCACCCAAAGGTCACCTATGGGTCATCGAAAGGTCAGCTGAGTTCAGCTGGGGTCACCCAAAGGTCACCCAAAAATCACCTGGGGTCACTCAAAGGTCACCCAAAAGTCACCTGCAGTCACTGAGTGGTCATCCAAAGGCCACCTGGGGTCACCCTGAGGTCACCTGGGGTCATCCAAAAATCACCTGGGGTCACCTGAGGGTCACCCTGGGTCACCCTGGACTGAGGGGTCACCTAGGGTCACTGAGTGGTCACCCAAAGGCCACCTGGGGTCACCCAAAAATCCCCTAGGGTCACATGGGGTCACCCCAGAGGTCACTGAGGGGTCACTGAGGGGTCACTGAGGGGTCACCTGGTCTTACCTTGTGGCTACCCGGGGTCACCTGGGGGTCACTGAGGGGTCATCAGGGTCACTCCAGAGGTCAGTGAGGTGCCCCCAGGGCTCTGCTGTGTCCCAGGTGTATTCTGGGTGTGTCCCCAGGTGTATCTGAGACAGTCTCAGGTGTGTCCCAGGTGTATTCTGGGTGTGTCCCCAGGTGTATCTGAGACAGTCTCAGGTGTGTCCCAGGTGTCCCAGGTGTATCTCAGACACTCCCAGCTGTCCCCAGGTGTATTCTGGGTGTGTCCCCAGCTGTCGCAGGTGTATTTTGGGTGTGTCCCCAGCTGTCCCCAGGTGTCCCAGCTGTCCCCAGGTGTGTCTCAGGTGTAGTTTGGGTGTGTCGGCATTGTCCCCAGCTGTCCCCAGCTGTCTCTCAGGTGAGTCTCAGACACTCCCACGTGTCCCAGGTGTATTTTGGGTGTGTCCCCAGGTGTCTCTCAGGTGTGTCCCAGGTATATCTCAGACACTCCCAGGTGTATTCTGGGTGTGTCCCAGGTGTCCCCAGCTGTCCCAGGTGTCCCAGGTGTCCCCAGGTGTATCTCAGACACTCTCAGGTGTCCCCAGGTGTCCCAGGTGTGTCCCCAGCTGTCCCACCTGTCCCAGGTGTATCTCAGACAGTCTCAGTTGTCCCCAGCTGTCCCAGGTGTATTTTGGGCGTGTCCCCATTGTCCCCAGGTGTCACAGCTGTCTCTCAGGTGTGTCCCCAGGTGTCCCAGCTGTCCCCAGGTGTCCCCAGGTGTATCTCAGACACTCCCAGCTGTCCCCAGGTGTATTTTGGGTGTCCCCAGCTGTCTCTCAGGTGTGTCCCAGCTGTCACAGGTGTATTTTGGGTGTGTCCCAGGTGTCCCCAGGTGTCACAGGAAATAATCCGCCACGGGTTTCTTGGCGGGGATCCCGCGCGTTTCCTGCGGCGCCGCCTCGAAGATGATGAACTCCTTCTGCAGGTGCTCGTCCAGCTCCAAGATGGCCGCCACGTTCCCGCACCTGGGGGACATTTACATCTCATTTGCATATCATTTACATCTCATTTGCATCTCATTCGCATCTCTTTTACATACTGTACACATCTAGCTTGTTTCAGATATACATCTTGCCTGCATCTCATTTGCATCTCATTTGCATCTCTTTTGCATACTGTATACATCTAGCTTGTTTCACATAAACATCTTGCCTGGATCTCATTTGCATCTCATTTACATTTCATGTACATCTAGTTTGTTTCACATATATATCTTGCCTGCCTCTCATATGCATCTCATTTGCATCTCGTTCACATATTGCTCACATCTGGTTTGTTTCACGTATATATCTTATTTGCATCTCATTTGCACCTCATTTGCATCTCATTCACACCTCATTTGCACCTCTTTCACATATGGCTCACATCTAGTTTATTTCACATATGTCTAATTTGCATCTCATTTGCATGACTTTCGCACACTGCACACATCTAGTTTATTTCACATGTTCCTCATTTGCATCTCATTTGCATCTCATTTGCATCTCATTTGCATCGCTTTAGCGTACTGCATGCATCTAGTTTATTTCACGTGCGTATATATCATATTCGCATCTTATTTGCATCTGATTTGCATAGCGCTCACATCTCATTCATTATTCCTTTGCATCTCATTTTATACCTTGATTGCATCTCATTTGCATCTCATTTGCATCTCATTCACATCCCATACACATCTCATCTGCGTCTTGTTTGCATCTCATTTATGTCTGATTTGCATTTCATCTGCATTAATCACATTGCACGTGCAGCTTGTTCTTATTGGTTTGCATATCATTTGCATATAGTCGGGGTCACTTTCATCTCCTTTCCAACACATTCACATCTCATTTGTATCTCATTCTCATCTCATTTTGCAACTAATTTGCATCTCATTTACATCTGCTTCTTATCTGTTTTGCATATCGCCTTCATCTCATTTGCATCTGTTGCCCATCTCCTGTGCATCCTGCTCCAATCTCATTTGTGTCCGATTTGCATTTCATCTGCATCTTAATCTTACCTCATTTGCATACCATCAGCATCATTTGCATCTTCTTTGCATTGCATCCTGCTCAGCTCTCATTTGCATCTCAGTTATTCCTCATGCGCATCTCATTTGCATCTCATCTGCATCCTGTTCTCATCTCATTGCAACTCATTTGCATCTCATTCACGTCTCAGCCATGTCGCATGCGCATCTTGTGCACACATCTCATTTACATCTCATTTGCATCTGATTCTCATCTCATGCATTTCTCTTTTGCATCTCATTTGCATCTTGATCCAGCTGTCTCTCAGCGCTATTTGCATGTTTTCAGGAGGGTCTCACCTGTCCCCCAGGTAACCCCAAATACTCACCTAATTAACGCTTAATTATCATGTAATTAACATATTATTCCCAGGTGTCTACCCCACAATTAGCATCTCATTAACATATTTTAATTAAAAATTGGGCACCTTCCCACCCCTCCTGATCCCTGCACCCAGACCCATTCACCGCTTCACAGGTGAGTCCAAACCCCACCTACTCTGTAATTA